GATTATGCACTACCGATGTAACTGACATGTGCCTAAACGCGGCATTTTAGTGTATAGTTCATTCATTTCCAGTGCATAACATAAAAATTGAGCAAATACATCAACACATAGTGAACAGCGAGTGAACAGACAAAAGTCATTCACTTGAAGTGAATTTTTTTAATAAAATATGCACATCTCGTTTGCAGTGTAATTCAGTTTTATTAATAGATCCACACAATACAAAAAATTCAACAAGTTCTTAATCATTCTTGCGCTTTGTTCTGCTCTCAGCTTGTTGGTGTTATATTTAGAGTTCTACTTCTTTTAGGATTCATTCCCTTTTTTCAAAAACCCAATAGTATCGGTAATTAAAAACGATTAATAAAAGCAAAATATTTCGACATCAAAATAGTTATTCGATAAAACTACGAAGTTTATTTTCAAGCTTATATTCGTTCGATATATGCCATCGAAATGATTCGAATTCTTGTTCAAATCATCAATTCAAATGCATTAGCTCGATGAAGATGGTTCAAGAACTATATCAAATTTTCCCACATCATATTTAAATATTGAATCATCTTTTCTTGTGTATGTCACTGATTCTAATTTAATCATATTACTCTTTTGGATATGTTCATCTGAAACAATGAAAGACGATGCAGAAAATAATTAAATTTGTTTAACATACCACTAACCAATCTCGTTCTTGTCCTCGCCGTCAAAATAGACCTGCACCACAAGTGGTTTGTAACCGTGTGACTGTACATAATAATGAATGTGTGGACATCTCCAAATTTTGTGCGGACTGAAATAATAGGGCACCGGTTTCATTGTTTCAAATTCATATCGTCCCCAATCATCTGTAACTAATCTTGCTCGATAATCATAGTTTCTGGATGCACCGTGTGTGTTTATTTCTTTAGTAAATGTTGGATATTCTTTATTGTCAGGTTCATAATAATCATATATAGCGTCAGGTGATGTCTGCCAAATATCAATGCAAGCAAATGGTAGCGGTTTCTTTGTATCTAATCCGAAAACTGTGCCTGACATGACTAACGGATCGCCTGTCGCATGAACCGGAGAAATCTTGGCGCGAAAAGGCGCATTCAACACGTAAAATGGGCCCCAGACTAGACTTAGCATAAAAGAACAAGCATACAATTAAGAGTCTCTTTTCCTGTCAAAAATTCATTTGACCATGTCACTGTATTTATTAAGACAAAATTCATTTGATTATTGACTATGTCAAAATATTATGACGAATGTTTTTGGTTGTGTCTAGTCTCCCGTGCCATTTGCGAGATTCTTAGGCTATCCAATCCTGTGCTTAGCGCAATACTGCCTTTTTTGAAATCTATATTTCCGACTGGAGTGGGCACTTAAGGAAGTGTCCTCCATTTATATTTAGTTCAGATTTTGCGAGTTTCTAGATGACACTTCAAAATATATATGAGAAAAGTTTGGAGATTTATAAACCTGTAGTTTTCTAGAAGAAAACGTTTTTAATATTTTTTGACCTCTTATGCCCAGTTTTTAAAATTTTTAATAAAATTTTTCCGTTTCAGTTTGAAATATCGGTTTTGTATTCAATCGATAGAGTGCCTCGAGATGTGTATGTAAAGAATATTTTCATTGTTTCCGAGCGAGGTTTGGCGGAGAAATTCAGATTTGACCTTGAGAATAGATATTGGGAGCTCAAAATGTGCTTTTTAGATCCTTCAAATTTGGAAAACGTCTTTGTCTATTTAAAAGTCAAGTTTAACGAATTTCAAAAACTTCTCTACTCGTTTCTTGTAAAATCACATTCTACACAACTTTTCTATCCACACTCTTGTTCCAAAATGCTTCCCTGAAGCTAAACTCAAGGCACTGGGCAAAACAGTTTTCCCTAAAGTCCTATTGGCAAGGTAAATGCTAAACTCGTCCAAATAGAAGTCCAGGAACTGAAAAACTTATATGAAATACATTTCAAAGTGTCCTCTACAAACTAGGTAAGAAAACAGGTGATTAGATCCCTCCTTAATCGAAAAGACTAATATTTTTATTAATTTACCGTCCGATGATGTCGGTTCTGTTTTTGTCGTGCTGACATCGTTAATGACTTTATTATTCTTGCTATTGATTTGTACTAAAGAATCAGAGGGAAGCGAATCATTGTTTGATTTTGATTCCATTGTAATTCGTTTGTGGCGGTTCCTTTGCAAAAGTATAACCTGTTACCTATCATCCTTCTATTTAAATAGTAACATTTATAAAGTAAAATGAGATAACAATAAGTATGACGAAGTAATTTGTTTCTTCTGTAATAAGAACAGCCAAGACATTTTTTTTACTCCTGATGCAGTGTCATCATTTGGAGTTATATTTCGATGTCTTCAACTCTCTTTCTCTCACACAAAGTAAATATTTGATAAGAAAATAATAAAACCTTGAATATGAACGACTTATTCGGTCATTTTATAATCAATATCTGTTTCAAATAACATATTCGACATTCAAACAAATTTTGATAGTTGGGCCTAGACAACAGGTGTCTTGCCCACGAAAACTAAATCGACAACAGCTGGACCGAATTTCATGAAATTTGGAGCTTAAGATTTAAAACGATCCTTTTCCAAATAGCCATTTCAAACGAATTGTTTTTGCCCACAGTTTTACTTGCAAAGCTTTTTGGTTAATGTACGCTTGTAGAGAAATGTTTCAACTACATCTTACAAAATTCATCAGAAAAGTATTTTTGTCTGAATTTCAGTTTAGGTTTTAAAATTTAAATAGCTCAATTGTTCTCGTAGCAACTAACGTTTACAAATATACATCAGAAAGAGGTTGAAAGACTAAACAAATGTATGGGTTGTCAGGATTTAGAAGTACAATGCCAAGTGGTTTTCAAGAGCTCTTCTAGAAATCTCTGAGGATTTACATATGTATCTAGCGTTTTTCTTCAAAGTTGAATTAAATTTAGATTTGTAATGAACGCAACCAGAGGCGATGATGATAATGTGAATAAAACCTAAGTCTCTCTGTTTCCAGGTCATATATTCCAATTACTTGTAAGCGATGAAAAAAAAATATCTACCGTGAAACATAGTATTAGGCACCAGATATGAAAATTATCTCTTTTTACGCTGTTTTCACTGACCTTTCATTCTAAGTTCTTCACTTCATATTCAAAATTCCCACAAAAGAAGTCCTCTAGATGATTTGTTGCGTATTTTGTAACATATTTCTGAGAAAGTTTCGGTTTCATTTTTGACCTTTGGTTCTGTTTTGTCTACGGGGCTTACGTAGATATTTTCAAAGTGTTCTGGGAGATGGATGACTGATATGAGCAACAAATGAAATTCTTACACGTATGCGAAAATCTCTCTAACGTTATTACTGTTTGCAATAACAACATTAAATATGTTAGTATTAATTGGTCTAATGTTTTGTTAACGTTCTTGTTAAACCGTCGGATAGAGCGAAGTTTGGCCTACATTCTAGACTAGTTTAAAGTTTTTTAACGGTGTTATTCATATATAAATTAAACTGATTTCGTTTTTTTTTGGTTAATGTACTCTTGTAGAGAAATGTTTCAACTACATCTTACAAAATTCATCAGAAAAGTATTTTTGTCTGAATTTCAGTTTAGGTTTTAAAATTTAAACAGCTCAATTGTTTTCGTAGCAACTAACATTTTCTAATATACATTAGAAAGAGCATGAAAGACTAAACAACATGATGAGAGAGCTGAAAAGGTCGGCTTTTGTTTCGGCAGACGGATTGAGCTGAAATTTTAGATAATGAATAACGACTATTAGTTAAACATTTTCTGAAAGTTTCATCAATGACGTCTGAACGGTTGCGAAGATAGTTACTTTTATAGAAGAAGCTAAGTGATTAGCGTTTATTCTCGTTGAACATAGCGCTGTTGAACAAAAGTGATGGTAGCCGGAAATTCATGGTAGTCAAAAAGCGTTGTTCTAGCTGCTAATCATCGATATTGAGAGCCACATATCTCAAAAACAAAAAAGGGTCTTTTTCTAGAAAATAGATCAGTATATAGTACAACGTCTGTACTTCAAACTAGTATAAAAAGTGAGGATAGACCCGCTCAAGTTAATTTAATTTTAATCTGAGAAGTTGGCGGAATATTGGATGAGCACTGGTTCTTTTGGATATTGAATAAATGAATATATTGATCTAACGGCCAAGGAAAAAAAAGTGCTTCCTTTCGTGATTTTCAGACGTTTTTTTTCGGCAGTTTTTCTTTGCTTTACATACATTGCAAAAGACTTGTAATCAATAATTATCCATTCAAAATAAAATTTGAGCTTGGTTTCGTCTAAATGCACTTAGACTGTGTTAAGGGCTGGAATGAGTG